ATTCGGCCAATCACAACGCATTGGATAGCTGGCCAATCACAGCACACCTCGCTTTTTCAGACCGATGAGCTTTGTAAAAATCGACGCGTTTCAAAAAGGCGGGGCATAGAGGAGAAACAATAATGTACAGTATGTGGAAAATAATGTGTTTTTTAAACTTTAAACCACATAAACACATTTCATTACACCAAATACACCAAATAATGTTCTTTTTAGCAGCATCATATGACCCCTTTAATGCACAGATCCAGGGCCGGAGTGGCACTCATTTTCAGCCCTGGAGTTTCATGCCCACTTATTTTTTTATTTTTTTTATTTTTACTTGCCTTTTCAGTGCCGCCTTCGCACTTTCTATTATCCATTTTTCATCTATTATATTTAGCTTGCATATCTCCAACAACTGAGGTATTTTTTTGTTCTTGTTGTTTTTTTGAGCAAGGTGCGGCTGCCAGGGGTGTCAAAAGATAATTACGTCATCATTAGGGTTGCCAATTAACTTCAGAAATGGAAAATAAGGGATAATTGTGATTCTTTATCTTTTATTCTTTAAGAAAATAGTGTTTACTCTTGTATTCTTATAGAAAATAAGTGTTTGTTCTTTAAGAAAATAAGGGACAGAATAAGGGACGCTCCAAATATTTGTAGTGTATACCATAATGTATGTCTGCCTGCAGTCAAATATTTCTCAGAAATAATCACAATTGTTTTGCTTAACCTATTTATGTACAATTATTCTAAAAATTATTTTAATGTCATACAAAAAATGTCATCGGCCTGAGTAAATTGTACCAATATAGAATTATAGAAAAAGTGTGGTAAGTTAGGAGGTGAAAATACTGTGAAATTACAAATGGCATGAAATGTGAAAGTGTAACAACTGAAGGTCTATGAAATGTCAGTCAGTAAAGCATTTTAAACAATGGCATTTAAAGTTTTGAACTAAAAAATCATTGCAACCATATGTGACCCTGGAGCACAAAACCAGTCTTAAGTCACTGGGGTATATTTGTAGCAATAGCCAAAAGTACATTGTATAGGTCAAAATTATAGATTTTTCTTTTATTGCAAAAATCATTAGGATATTAAGTAAAGATCATGTTCCACAAAGATATTTTGTAAATATATCAAAACTTAATTTTTGATTAGTAATATGCATTTCTAAGGACTTCATTTGGACAACTTTAAAGGTGATTTTCTCAATATTTTGATTTTTTTTGCACCCTTAGATTCCAGATATTCAAATAGTTGTATCTCGACCAAATATTGTCCTATCATAACAAACCATACATCAATGGAAATCTTATTTATTCAGCTTTCATATGATGTATAAATCACTTAAGACTGCTTTTGTGGTCCAGGGTCACATATAGCCTTTGAATGAATGAAAATGCATATTTTTCAATTAAAGAAAACTTAGAGAGTATGGGCTGCTTCTGGTGCTTGGATTTGTAGCCTACTTCAATAATGAGGTTCAAGAATACTAGAAGTAAATTTTTTTTAATGTATTTTTTTCTTTCTCTATTTAACTGCATTACAATGAAAGACGTCTTCCCTCGGGTAGATTGAATGTTGGGCTCATGAGTAATAAGTTGTTTGCATTCACCCAAACTGAATCAAAACGTGGACGGTGAAGGAAACTTCCGATTGGTCTTAAAGCCTTCCTCAAATGGCTACTTCACAAATAAAACAATGATTTGCACAAAAAATTATTATCAATTGTTATTGATATGGTGTGGTGAAAATAATAATATGGGTTGCGAGAAAATTATAAATAAAAAGAGTGGGGCTGCTATGAGTGCAGGCAGACTAAGGACAGCATCACTGATCTATATATAATATCTATTATAGATAAGTGGACAGCATCCATATTTCAACCCCAGTGGCATAACAACACCGCGGCCCTCGCGGCCAAAAAAACAGACCGGCCCACAGGTAATCCTCCCTGTGCTCCCGATTAGCCAATCCAGGCCTGCACAAATCCGATCTTTTGACCATATCTGATTTTTTGGCACGTCTGTTTACATTCACTTTAGACACGACTGGTATCCGATATCTGTGTTTAATTCCCACGCAAAATGATTGTCTGCAGTGATCGCTTTACTATGCACATGGTAGACCCTCAGGTTTTAAATGGCCGATTAAAATTATTTGTATAATTCACGTCGAATGGCCATTAATATTTGCCAGCATGGACAACGGCTGTCATGGATGTTTTGCAGCACAAAATCTGACTGAACGGATAAAGACCGGAAAATAACGGTAATTAAAATTTTAGACTATTTTATCTACAGCTCGTTAGAGGTAGAATTCTTTAGTGAAATAAAGTTGATATTTATTGAAATGAATTCGAATTAAGGAGAGAGAGAGAACAAACGAACGCATGCACCCACGTGCGAGCGAGCGATTGTGAAGCTAATGAAGTTTAATTACAAAAACTGCTAAGTTATCACCTCATTGCTGAGAAATATATGTAGCTTTTAGCTGTTGTATTTTCAAAATTCACGGGGCGGGGGGTTGAAAACCAGCTCCTGAATGTGCAATTTCTTACCTATAAAAAGTTTCCATCTCAATAAAATGCGAGCGCATACAGCACGCCGGCATTAAAACGCCATTAAAAATCTTTATGAGCAAACGTGTCGCCCTTGCATTGGGAGTTCTGTGGAGAATTGGATATGTGTGATTAGACGTAGGTCGGATGTCCAGATATCAGATGTGTATCCGATTAAAATCCACATTTGGAAGTGGCTCAGATCGGATGCAAAAAAATCAAATCTCGTGTGGGTTTTTGTGTTTACACATCAAATTCCGATCTGTGTCAGATGTGAGCGAAAGATCGGATTTTTTTTGCCAGTGTAGCGCTCAGTCAGAGAGTGTTCGCGAGTGAAAATATATCTGTGCTAAACTTATACTCGGCCTCCAACTCACACACTGGCGAGTAAAATCTGAGAATTTATTAGCCATTGGCTAATGTTAGAGTGAAGATTTAGTCGCATATGCA